CATATCAATGTACAAATCATAGATTCAATGCAACCAGACATATAAACTATTAAATGTGTAGTTTATGAGATATACAAACAGCAAGTTAAATTCAATGGATTCATTTTATTCTACATGTAATCGTTAGTATATCATTTTATGAGTGAGCATTATTCGCGTACTTACCTAAGTACTAACAAAAGTCCTGAGATTATAACCAGAGTCTCCTGGAGGGAGAACGTGAGTTTATGTATAGATCTATACGGGATTGACAATCCTGCACCATAACTGCTAGCTACAGTTAGGCCGGCAGGCCTGGGTGACAAAGTCATTTCGATTCCGACACCTGAAGAACGTCGTTCAGGCAATTCAATGGTCAAGTATGGTTATAACAACTCATAAATTTGGTACTAAGAAAATACGATTAATGTATGAATGATAATAACTTTAATTATTTTATTTATAAAGTAATAGAATTACTATACATATTACAGTTTTCAGAGCTTTCCATACTTACTATACATACCGGTAATAATCAGGGTTTTTCTTGTAAAAAAGGTTTCTTATTCAATCAAACAATGCACAAGACATTCAATGAGATTCAGTAACAAACAATCAAAGTCAGTTCTATAACCCCTTAATTGATGCATCAGGGTTACATATGAAGAATATTCGATAGACTGTGGAATATGTGATTTCCGCCTCATTTTCTTGTTCCTTGTTTGGTTGTGGACTTAGGCAGATCCACATAATCCACTGTCTGTTCGATATTGGTTTATATGTGACTAGTATGAACTAAGTAGTCATAGAAAGAACTGGTTTATCATACTTCAACTAAAGAAAATAATGGATTTTCTTGGAAACATATGAACATTTTCATAGATTCATTAACAGGTTTTCTTTTCAAAAACATACTTGTGAACTCACCAGCTTTATGTTGATACTCTTTCAAAACTGCTTGTATTCTTAGGAAATCAGTAGACAGGTACCTCCTAGAGTTTTTAGAAGACGGAGTGTATAGAGTCTCGTCTTTTGCTTTGTCTTACTTTTGATGTCTATAAACATGTATCAAACCGATGTAAATATTTTACTTAACAAATGTAATGGTTGTGTTTACTTTGATTACTGTAATGCAATGGTTGTGATACTATACATGAAGTCATCCACCCCCAAACGTTTCTGCCGTTCCGGTTTGGGGGTGTAACACCAACACTTCTTCTAGAAGTGCGGGGCATAGGAGGGGGGAGGGTTATCCTTTAATTCTACCGACGAGCCAAGTTATAGGACGTCACTCATACCGATCGATACGCCGATAGTGACAGGAGTCGCAGGCTCCAACAGTCAGGGTGCCATTAATGAACAAACCGACATGGTTGATCCTTTAGCAGACTTGGCTGGGATTCTTCTCCATCCGGCTCGAGGGACGGGTCATATGTCCCAGCTCATACAGACAGATTATATGCCCCAGCTCCTACAGACGTTTTATAGGCCCCAATCCCCACAAATGGGTTATACGCCCTAGTTTCCAAATACAGGTGTTGAGTTGCCGACCCCACAAACGGTTTTGAGGTCGAGTGGTCATGATGGATTTGAGGAGTACTATTTTGAGGGTGCAGATACACATGCATCCTCTCGGTCGCCACAAACCCCGCATACGCCACGGCCACCGAACATGCCACCGACGCCGCATGGCTCCACCTCTAGAGGTGTTACGGGCGGTCACGACTCGAATACGAGTGATTTTCAGGACTCTTTGTTACCCATCATCAGCCAAAAAGGGAAAAAGTTAGTGTTTTCATATTTTAAAACTTTAATTTTTGATGTTAAAATTCTACTTATATAGTTCTTTTCAATGTAGGTTTGGGTCTAGGAAAATCCACAACACGTGTATTAGTCTCTATTGGGAGTATATGGATCATCTGTGGCCCCGGTTTAGTGATATTCCCTATGAGGCTCTTCTACAGATGTTTTCGCATTTCAAGGCAATATATTAAATATTAATTATTGTATCTTATAATCATTTGCTTTTAGTTTGTATTTTTAAATTTACGTTGTATTTTTTTACAAACCATGTACAGGTGGAATTCACTAGAGAATAGTAACATATTTGATGCCTTCAAGTGTGTCCTCAAGGATAGATAAAGGGATCGGATGAAGCGTATCAGGATTAAATCTGGGGACATGGCACGAAATGATGGGAAACCGTCCCCCCAGGTCATTGTACCTACTTCGAAGGGATGGATAACTACCGCCCCGGGCGCGTACCGAAGAATGTGTGGCTACGTTTGTGTGATGTAATGGATATGATACATTATTATCTATTTTGTTGAGTTTTAATTTCCTATTGTATTAGTATACTAATATTTTTTTTTTCTTTTCACAACATTGGTCCACAGATAAGTGGAGAAAGAATTCAAAAATTGCTCAGCAGAACCGCAAAGTCGCAGATGCTAATGGGCCGACAACAAGGCACACCACGGGTAGTATAGGATTTGATGAGCACCGTAACAACTTAGTTAGTATCATAATTATAAATTTTATCATCTAATTTTTTTTAACACTAACTACATCAATTATAATTTGTATTTTATGTAGGAAAAGATGATAGGTAAGCCACCCACACAATTTGATGTTTTCATGAAGACGCATGGCACAACTGAGGCGAATTTTTTTTTTTTGCGGGAGATCATGAAAATCTCGAATAATGCTCACAAACTGCCAAAGAAGTAGAAGTAACTTATCTTTTATCATTTATGTATATTGATTGTCTCAGTATTTTTGGACATGACAATGATACTGTTTTGGTAATTTGTAGGAGGCGTATCTACAGGGGTTGGTCAAAAAATACGGAGAAGACTCTTCAAACCATGAAGATGATGCGGGGGTATAGGAGGAAACCCAACTTAGGAGAAAAGAAAAGAAGAAGGGTGATATCTATGGCATAGGAGCATCAGATACACATTTTGTGATTTATGGGACACCATCTTCCCAATCCACCCAATCGGATAGCACACAACAAGAGGTATGTTGTTATGGTTTAAAAGTTAAGTAGTATGTTGATAATATTGATTAAGTTGATAATAAACAAAAGTACGTTGCTATTATGGTTAAAAGTTAGGTAGTTTGCTGATAATATTGATTAAATTGATAATAAACATAAGTACGTTGTTATTATAGTTAAAAGTTAAGTATATTGCTATAAGTATTATAAACAAAAATGCATTGTTATAATAAACTAAATTACATTGTTAATATTGTTTAACTATTGAATTGTGTTGCCATTTTTCTAGGTTGATAGGTTGCGTGCACAAGTTTCTACCATGGAACAACAACAACAACAACAAATGAAAGAAAAAATGGAAATGATTATGAGGATGATGAATATGTCTGGAAATCAACCCCGTGCTCCCCCCGATAATCCACCTGAGGACAATTGATAAGTATTTTTGAACAATTGAATTTGTAAACATTTGGTATTGTTTGTTTTGTTAATTAGTGCTTACTTTTGTAAGATATTTTGAACAATGGAATGGAATGTGTCAAACTTGGTATTAGGGATGTTTTTTGGTATATTTTATATGGTATTTGGGACAAATGTGAATTGAATGTGGTATTTGACAAAAAATTGGAAATTTTAAATTTTTTTTTTTTTATAAATAAAACGAAGTTAGCTACGGAATAGTTACGGTTTTCCGTAGCTATTTAGTTCCGTAGCTATTTGGATCCGTAGCTATTCTGTAGCTATTTAGTTTCGTAGCTATTCCGTAGTTATCTAGTTCTGTAACTATTGTAACTATTCCGTAGGAAATCCGTAGCTATTCCGTTGGTATACTAGCTACGGAAAATTCCGTAGCTATTCCATAGCGATTCTGTAGCTAATCCGTAGCTATAATTTAGTCACGGGCCATTATGCTACAACCAATTTTCCGTAGCTATCCGCTTATAGCTACGGAATAGCTACGGATTGTGTTGTAGCTATTACACCAATTTTCTAGTAGTGCAATAAGATGATTAGGGTTCATGATCCCACAAGAGAACCATTTCATGATCCCACAAGAGAACCGTTTCTCTCAAAATCCTAATTGAAGCATGTCAACTGACAAGGAAGTGTATCTTAAATACCCAATACGATTATGATTTACTAGGCCTGCGCTCTCATCCCTAGGCTTAGCCTGATACATGGGAACGCCACCCTTGGCTTGGCTCACGACGTCCAGTAATTCCCTAAACCTCTATTAATTATTGAATTAGTTTTCCAATTAATTAGTTACAACTGGTGTAGTATTTATGTGTTCTTTCAACTTTCAAGCCCCTTTATCTATTTATGGACTATCCGCACTAAATTTGTTGGAGGATAAATTATATCCTCATGGCATACTTTCCAGAAAATCATAGATCTACCACCAACGGAGTACTTTACGAAAATCACCCTAAGGCCATATGATTTACACCCTTAGTAAAAGATTGCTAAATTTTAGAAGGGAAATTGAATATAAATCAAAACTGGACTTGTGTAGTTAATCATGGGTAATTATCTTAGGGAGTGCTCCCTGGATTAGGTGAAGTGGCAGTGAAGGGGTTGGCCATCCAATCTGGACAAGGGCTGAAGGAAATTAAAAATGAAGTCGTGTTGATTGGCAAACTTCAACATCGTAATCTTGTTAGGCTTTTGGGATACAACATGAAGGATCATGAAATGATACTACTCTACGAATACATGCCAAATAAAAGCTTGGATCATTACATATTTGGTTAGCCACAATTATTTATCACTTTTTGTAATTACGAATTTTGGATTTGAAATCTAAAATTCTTGTTTTGATGGGAATTTTGGCAGATAGGACGCTTTGTGTGACTCTTGACTGGGATTTACGGTTCGATATCATCATGGGAATTGCTCGAGGACTTTTGTATCTTCACCAAGATTCACGGTTGAGGATTATTCATAGAGATTTGAAAGCAAGTAATGTGTTGTTAGATGAGGATATGAGAGACGGGTTTTTTTCAACAAATGCCCCCATACGTGACGGGGCCCCCACGGGAACGGGGTCCCACTGGACTTTTTGACATACCTAAGACATAGTACAAACATATTTCCAAAGATTCAAAAAACATACAATTTAAGAACATATTTCTAAAATCAATTTTATCTTCAAATCTGTGTTCAAACCGGCTTATCTTATCTGCTAGTTATATATAGAATAAGTAATTTGTATGAAAATATTTTAAAGAATAAAAGGGTGCTCAATAGAAAAGACATGAGAAGTAGACAGATGTCAGAGTAAAAAACTCAGCCTAGGGTGCAAATGAGAATATACATGGTGCATTTAAAATCCCCCCTTTATCGAGGCCCTACATTAGTTACTGTAACTTCGTTGTTGGAGAATCTACTTGACGCATGGGCACTTCTATGTAATGTAAAAGCAGGCTTTTTGGGAGATGGAACAGTTGCGTTTTCATTTATCAACATGACAACCACTTCTGACATTGTTGGTCTGTCACTCATTATTTCTTGAATACATAGAAGTCCAACATTTATGCACTTTACTGCCTGTTGATCAGCATTGCTACAGGTGCCCCTGATTAAAGGATCAATCAACTCCAAACCTCTGCCTTCTATCCACCTTTTCCATGCCTAAAGATGATCCAAATTAAACCTTCAAACTGAAGTTGTTTGCAAGTAGTTATCATGTAATAATTGAAAAAGAACACATCATATATACTTACCCATTCCAATATTGTAAGAAAGCCTTCGATGTAATTAGAAGTACTCCTTTTACCAGTCACAATCTCCAGCAGTAAGACCCCGAAACTAAATACATCAGATTTCTCAGAAAACCTCCCGTGAAGTGCATATTCAGGTGCCATATATCCACTGAAATCAAGAGAGCAAGGACATTAATTAACACATCATCTCTAATTTATTATCAGCTATATAATTAATTTAAGATGTAATTTTGATGCATTGAATGACTTGTGGACTTACTAGGTACCAACAACTCTGTTGGTTTTGTCCTGAGTTTGGTTCATCCCAAAAATCCTTGCCAATCCAAAATCTGAAATTTTAGGAGTCATCATCTGATCCAGAAGAACATTGCATGCTTTTAAGTCCCTATGGATAACTCTCAATCTAGAATACTTGTGCAGATAAAGGAGTCCTTGAGCTACACCTTCTATTATATTGAATCTTTTGCTCCAATCAAGATTCACACTCTCCGATGGATCTAGGGACGATAGATAAAAAAATATATCATGCAGCGTGAAATATAATCAGAACAGATGAAAAGGAATAAAAGTGTACCAAAGAGGAACTTGTCTAGGCTTCTATTAGGCATATACTCATACAGGAGAATCTTTTCATCTTCTTCCACACAACATCCCAATAGCCTAACAAGATTCTTATGCTGAAGTTTTGCAATAATCCTCAACTCATTCATAAACTCCTCGCGTCCTTGTGATGATCTTGCTGATAACCTTTTTACCGCCACTTCTCTATTTCCAGGCAAGGAACCCTGCATTACCTTTCTCATCTTTATTACATATATATTTGAAATTATATGTCTTGAAGTAATAAATAATGATGTTCTGGGGACTAGCTAGCAAGGTATCATACCTTGTAAACAGAACCAAACCCACCCTCTCCAAGCTTGTTTTCGACTGAAAAGGAACCTGTTGCTTCGAGTACGCTCCTTAAGCTAAACGATACAAGCTCTACGCTGTTATGTGCATCTCCAATGGATGTGCTCATAGAATCATATCCAAGTAATTCCCTCCTTATTCTCTCTGCATAGCATAAGCCACAACTGTCAACTGGTAATCTTGAAAATGAATTGATTTAAAAATCTTGACTTTATTTAAATTTTAACCTTCCCTTATCAGCCTTCTCCTTCTCCTTCTCAAGAAGTAACCAAAAATGCTGATTAGAAGCATTCCTACAGAAACAATGGCAACTGTAACTGCAACTTCACTCCTGAATTTCCTTTTGTGGGTGAAATTATTTGCATGTATCTTGTCTACTGCATGTTCATCATGGAAGAACACAGAAAGTTTTGATCAGGACATTGCAATGCAAATGAAGCACAGCTATTCGTAAAGAAAAGTAGACATACCGAGTGGAGAGCTACGAAAGCGGACATAGAGATTATGAAGAGTAAAATCGTCGCTTGAGGTATCCACAAGGTCTCTGAACCAATTCAGACAAATTATTGTAAGTTCATTGGTTACATTCTCATATGCATAAGCTATACAGGAGCAGTTGCTGAAGCAACCAGATTCACAGTCGCTTAAACTTATTTTTCCTATGCTGACTGCATGATCTGGTAGCTTCACTCCTTCATATACTGAAAACACATCTCCCGTGTCGCAGCTCAACGCCTTAATTCTCACACATCCACCAGTCCAGTTCCCTTCACTCCATTCGTTATGTGATTTTGGCTGGAAACCAGTCATACACTTGCATGCTGGAATTGATTCATTTGTCTTGCTGCAGACTGTGAATGGACCACAGTAGCCATAAAAATCACATGTAGCTCGAGGTGACTGCCATACAAAATTCCATGTCGTTTTCATCCATACCTGTAGCTCAATTTGCCCACGAGGAACTAAGGTAAACCGTGTGCTCTTTGAGTTTGTAGAGATATCATACAAAATATAATCTTCATCATCTTTGATAACATAACTCATGTATCCGGGAAATCCTCCATCCATAACTCTATTGCCAAACCAGCTTCCATCTCCTATAAAACCACTACCAAACGTCAAATTAGTTGCGTAGACATTGCTTCTCCAATACGGTTCATCCCCTTTCCAAATATATACCTGATGATGAACTGGATCTATCCCTAGTGAGAATATACCTGGTTGAGGATTCTCATCATCGACCCAAGATGTAAGATGCATTTCTTGACCACATCAGTTGGAGCTAAATTTCAAGTCAGTCAGAATCGTGTCGGTTGGATGATCAAAACTATGCCACAGTTCATCTTTACCATGTCTAAGTACCAGATTACCGTTATCAAGTAATACTGCATCTGTGGCGTTTATGACAGACACGTTTGATGTCCAGACGAGCTCTTTTCCACTTAAAACCACAAGATTCCCATCTTCAGAAAGCCTGAGAATTGATGGTGAGCCTTTAGGAACTGGAGATGCTCTATTGGCAACCCAGATGACTGTTTGCTTTGGGATTGTGTTGTACCATATCCCCAGGTAGCTACCAGTAGAATTACCAGGACTGAAGAAGCCTAATGCAAACGTACCTCCAGCTGAGATTATGGTTTGGTTGCTAGTGATGGAGCTGGTTGCAGTTATGGTGTCTTGACTTTTAGAAAGAGGTAAGACATAAGATGAGATAATCAACACAAGACATAGCCACTCCATTGATGGTACCTTCAATTCATGTAGTTTATAGATTCTATTTCTCCATTTCTTACTCGCTCCCAATTCCCAAAAGTGAGAAGAGAGTGAGAGTGAGAGGTGGCGATGATATACAGCAATGGTGACTTGCTATAGCTTGTTGACAAATGTGTCAAAAAACAAATTTGAAATCTAGGTTGTTTGATAAAAAAAATTCATTTTTATATTTATTTCACTCATGGATAAATTAATTTTTAACTTGGTTTAGATGTAGGTCCGGCTTATATGTAGGTCCATTAATAATTTGTTGTACTATACTTATCCATTCATAATTTTTTTGTACTATACCTTTTCATTGTTGTAAAATGTATTTTGATTTTCACTTTAAATTATAATTTATCAACGTGCACAATTGAATAAATCATATCAAGAAAATTAACATGTGATAATATATGTGTGCACTTTGAATCGTAAAAATTGAAGTTATTAATTCAAAAAATTTGTTATTTCAAAACCTTATGTGATGTCATAAATTTTTTATATGTGTGCACTTTGTATCGTAAAAATTTACTTTATATTTTTAGCATTAACTGTTTATAAAAATGGTCAAATTTAGGGGATGTCATAATTAGAGTTCATGATCCCACCATAATTGTTTCTCTCAAAATCCTAATTGAACAAAAATATATAAACATATCAATTGACAAGGAAATGTATCTTAAATACCCAGTAGGATTAGGATCTATTAGCCCTGTCTCCCATCCCTAGGGATCCATTAGCCCTAGGCTCCCATCCCTAGACTTCGCCTAAGACATGGGAATGCCAACCTTGGATTGGCTCTAGAGTTCCAATAATTTCCTTGAGATTTTTTTAATTGAATGGTTGTTTAATGGTTAGCAGTTAGTATCCTTAAGTTTGTACAATTCGTATATGCCCATATTAGAACTCGGGACCTCCAATCTAAGAGGCAAAACCTATACTAAGTGGGCGTTTGCCTTAAGCTTCTATTAAATAATGAATTGGTTTTCAATTAATTAATTACAACCGGTATAATATTTGTGTGTTTATTTCACGTCTCTTTATCCATTTATGGACAATTAGAACTAATTGCGACCTAATATATGTTTAACTGCCTTTGTCGTTAGTGTGTTATATCATAGGCACATATACCTTATATCATAGGCACGTATACCGACATGAACATACATAAAACGTCTCTTGTGTCACTCACAAACAATGCACAAGAGATATTACAGTCTTTTGGAGAGAAAACGATAATCCCCTATTTTTTATTTATATAAGTTACTCCCATCAAGAACATGCTAAATTTGGTAAAGAATGAACTATGTCATCATGGCATACTTTACAGAAAATCATAAACTATCACCAATGGAGTACTTTACAAAAATCGTCCTAAAACCACATTAATATATATATATATATATATATATATATATATATATATA